TAGCAAATATGTATATTGCCTCTCTTGTATGCGATCTTACTCTCGAACCATCGCGATATATATATATATATATATATATATATATATAGATTAAGATTTAAACCTGCGCGGTAAACGTCATTCCGGATATATCGTCTCGCTCTGTTGTTGCATGCGACGATGACAAAGAATCTCTCTCAATTTCAACATTTCCTTGAAATTTTCTCCCGAATCCCTTGACGACCAAGACGCGTATAATGACCATATCTTCTCGCGAACGTATTGTGAGAGCCCCTCATCGTACAAACGTACTCCGCGTTCCAACGAAAATTCCATTCCTCGGCCAGTTCCCAGGTACACAGGTATACCACACACAGGTAATCCGCTCGCGCGCACGTGCGTGAGAGCGCGCGCTAGAAAGGGTTGAGGTTATCGGCGGCGCCTCGCGAAGGAGGCGAGCGGCCGCGCGGGATGAACAGAGACGGGACGCTCACTACTACAGGGCGGCCGGGCCCGCGTGTATACACACGTGCACGTGTCGAGATGGCGCGGTGGTGGGGCGAAAACGTGAATGATCCATAGAGAGACGTGACGATGGTGTGCGAAGGTGTAGCGCGCGTCGCATTGGTGAGAGTGCCGTCGGCGTTCGCTCGCCGACTGTTCTGTGTGTGTGTGTGTGTGTGTATGTGTGTCTTCACATCAGGGATTCTCAACTCGCGTCGATTCTCGGTTCTACACACGGTAATACGAAAGATCGGTTGATGTAATTATCTTTCGATCATCTACGATACGTAGAATCATTGTCGTTGGGGAAATCGCAAGCGACGTTCCTCACTTGTCAAAGATAACGTCAAGTCTAGTGCTGTAACAGTGTTCTTTGTATCCTTATGTCGTCAGGTCAAATCGGTCGCGTAGCGAAGCTGAAAGACACTGAGCTACGTCATACGCTACCGGCGGCGCGGTGGGGTAGAGTCTCGAGATAAGCGGTAGTGGTAGTGATGTGAAACCATCGTGAGTCGGGCTGGTCGGCGGCAGGCCAAGGGAGCGGTACGCGGTACGGGAGAGAAGTTGGGTGCGACGCGGAGCAAGAGCGGAGGTAACGGCGCGGTTTCGGCTTCTCGGCATCGGCTTCGGAAATGGCCGCGGGAAAGTAGAGAGCGGGAGCGTTTTGTCGCTGGCTGGCTGGCTGGTTGGTTGGTTGGTTGGTTGGTTGGTTGGATGGTTGGGTGGTCGGTTGGCCGGGTTGGATCGGTCGGTCGAGGTTCAAGTTTTTGGAGCACCGCGCGCGCTCGTTTCATCCCGGCGCATCCGAGTCGCGCGCGCGCGCGCGCGCGATCGATTCACGCACCAGACGATCTTGGAGACCAGCGTGTGAGATGTAAGAGCGGTGCGTGTGTGTCACGACGACCTGAGAAGACAACGGGAACTGTAAGCGAGGAACTTGGATACAGAGGGACAGAATAATTCGCCAGAACGATTCATCGTTTGATAGCGGTATACGAGATAGGATGGCCGGCGACGACGGAACAACGATGAACAATGAGATTCTTGGCGCACGGGGTGGCGCGGAGGAGGGGCAGGGTACGTCAACGCGAGGGGAGCTGCATTCCAGAGTGGGCGGCATTCTGGAATGCGATCCCCCCGGTAACAGGAATTCGTCGAACGAGCGAGCTGCCGCCGCCGCTGCCGCTGCCGACGACGAAGACGGTGTCTGCCGATATGCGGTCGGCGCTGCTAATCGCGCTATGTCTTTCTTCGAAATGTGTCAGGTAACATATATCGGCTATTATAAGCTTGTCAATTACTTGATTCATAGTCGGCATCCAAATTATCAATACTTATCCACGTTTATCAGCATCCACATTTTCTAAATTGAATATATATATATAAAAATAACTTGTTAAATTTTTATTGAATACTATGTCTTACAATGTAATTTTTGCAACAATCATTACAAAACTAGTTTTGCATTTAAGACAAAATGTCTTATCTTTTAGATTCGACTTCAACATCTCTTTCCACAATTGGGCCCACCACCACGATACAATATCCACGACGATTCTATAGAATCGACTGCCGAGAGTCTGGCCAATGATGTAATACGATACTTGTTAAAAGAAGATATCTATCTTATATCCCAAGATCCAGTATCTCGTAGCATGAGGCACAATGTATATCAAATGCTCAACAAACACAGCATTCTCTTTACAAGTATGGTAAATCGTTTGAACGTTGTTCCGGACACTGCATACGAAACATTTATGGGAGTTGCCAATGAATTGTTCTTACATGGAGTTATTACATGGGCTAGAATTGTTTGCTTATACGCTTTCATGGGCAGATTAGCTCTATGGGCTAGAGACAGAAGAATGCACAGTCTTAAAAAGAAATTGCCGCTATACGTTTCTAGATACGTTGGTGAAAATATAACGCATTTTATTAAAGGCTACGGTGGGTGGGTAAGTATTCATCACTAAAGGAGAAAAGAGCATATTCAAACTTTTACCTAAAATATACATACCTTGTATTTTTTTTTACAGGAACAATTATGCGTAGAATATCCTGTGGCTGAAGAAATTAGCGGAGCAATTTGGAGGAGTTTATTAATGACAGGAGCCACTCTTGGTTTGATCGCTACAATCTTGTCGGTGACTTCCTGATGGAGCCTTGCGAGATCGTGTGGTTTGAGTATGTTTTGTCCAAGAAATTACCGCGTACTTACGTTCTACGAGAACACGCTCGAAAGGGAAATGTAAACAGATTTTTTTCTATATAATGTACGTATAATATTACGTATTAATATACATTTCACGAACATCGGAACGATTCGATTCAAACGGAAAGTTTGCTACGTCTATACGAGAAACATACAAGATTAACAAAAGATACTTCAACGCGTTGACATACATAATTTTCATATCAACGTCAGTCTGCTTAGAATCATTCTACTTTTTATATAACTCCAGCCAGCATATATAGCATGAGCGACAGACAATGACGCTAGTTTCCTATTACAATACCTTATAACACAAACTAGTGAAATTATATATGTATAGTAAACAGAATATATCTTATTTAATTCTATAATAGACATTTTTTTAATATTAAAGTAATTTTCAACAATAATACTCAAAATTAAGGAAATTATTAGAAATTTATGCGAAACAAGAATCTCTTTTTCTCTCGAATTTTATTGAATTTAGGTAGACACAATATATTTATTTATAATTTATTTTAGGTAGAGAATATATTAAATAATAAATTTTTTTCGAATATCTTTTTGTTCATAGAACTGATCGCATCCATACAATTTTAAACATTAAGAGATATATGTAATAGCGATGGAAAAAAACAAGAAATAGTTAAGAACTGTACCGTGATATATATTCAAATAACGGCTACTTTTTTACATGTCGATATATTCTATTATTATACACTTGCAAAAATTTTATATTCAGAGAATAAATACTTTTATAAAATAAAGATCTTTTTCCTGTAATCATTATTAAAAGAAGAGACAGGGAAGAAAGAAAGATTGAAAAAAATACCTACTACAAAGATAAAATTAGTTTATAAGACAATTTCACAGCAAAATAGAAAATTTAATATAATCTCTTATTTTTTAATCTGGGTGATATTTGCATTATTCATGTTTGGTAAAACTCAGTTCTCATACAACTATCAAATACTATTATCAATGGAAATTTACAGGGTAGAATACACACAACTTGCTGTTGCTATGAAAATTTCAATATAGTTTTTTGCTACTACAAATAAAAACTATGCTCACATACACATAAAATGATACAAAGACTTACTTGATATGATGTAAGTAAATTTGTTTTCTTGGAAAACACATTGAATCAACATTGTAGAGAGTATTTTTAATGTATCATTATAAATTATAAGTAAAATAAGTTTTAATATATATATATATATATATATATTGTTGCATTATGTCATGTCAAAGGGGGGGATCAGTCTTAATCACTACAAAATACTGTAAACGACATATGTCTAATGTATATATGTTTGCAAATAATCAAAAATAATAACTTCATATATGTGAAATAATCGTTATTCCTATTACGATGAACATAATCCTCCTAATTATATTTATGTTTAATCTGAAATATTAATCAATGAAGAAAAAAAAATACATTAATGCGTTTGAAATTTCATGTTAATAACGCTGTTTTTAAAAAAAACATTTTCTGTAAAAATATGTTGCAATATGCGTGAAAAACCATTTTAATATCGTAATTAAACATTTACACATGATCTGGATAATTTTGTTTAAAATAATATTGTTTAAAGAGACTATATTTTTTTATATTATATAGAAATATTCGAGCTTATCGAGTCCTCTGTAGGATTAAACCATTTCAATTATAAGCACTTGAATACATAATTAGTATAATGTTATAATAGGATGCTGTGGGATAATAATTTGCCTCTTTTTATTTCTTAATCAAAGAGGAGGATACATTTCTGCCAAGGAAATATATTAACTGTCATTTTCAGCATTATAAAATCTCATATATATTTTCATATTCATGAGATTACTGAGATCTAAATCACTTAAGATTTACAATGTATGTATGTATATGAATAAATATAAATATATATATTCATATACAGTATTTACAGTATATATTATATATTTGTAATTATGTTAACAAAAGGCAACATTGAACAATGATGAGAAATCTATTTCTAGAAGAATATGATAAAGATGATAATGACCGTGTTTCAAAATTCACTGCTAATACTAGAAATCTATAAGATACATAACATGAACTATAGATTTTTAGTACTGACAGTGAATTTTGGAATGCATCCAATGTATCATGCTGGTTTATATAACCATAAAAGTAAAGCCGCGCGATTTTTCTTCTATATTACAATTTACTAATAAAATAATTTATTTTATTATTGTGTAAGTTTTGTAATATTTATCAAATACTTATAAAAAAATGAGCGAATAATGAAATCTTGACACAAGAGTTTGCAATCTATACCAATTAAAATACAATTAAACATTTACACCATTGACAAAAATGGTTTCTTGGATATGTTTGATAGTTTGACAGCTAAAATTTCAATTTTATATTTGCAATACATTATTTTTATGAATACGAAGACTTTCTGCCCGAAAAGCTCAAGTTCGGGTTATGTACAAGAAATTTTGAACATATACGAGTTTTATTTTTATATGGGATCATATTAGAGCTCTTTTAATATGCTATTGTAATTTACGAATTGAATGAATATAATTATAAAATCACAAACTAGAGAATTTTTTTCTGGCGGAATTCAATCTAACAATTTTCTTACATCTAATCAAATTTTGCGACTGTACAGAAAACAACTGCATTTCAACTTTTATTTCAGATCCTATTATGTATAATAGCAAGAATCAACACACAAATTCCGTTTAATAAATCTTTAAAATTTTCTACACTTACTTTGTTATTATTGATATTACTATGTTTAAAAGTAATATGTATTTATTGTATGTGAATATATATATCGATTCGTCGCCCTGTGTTCTCGCCCCGTCATCGTTATTGCCGCCGCGTTTTCCAGGCTTTATCTCGCCTCTCTCGACGAAATTCAGCCGATTTGCATTCAGCGAATGCGGGCGCGGGATAGATGGTTGATTCGTTTTTAATTCGCAAGGTGAAAGCTTACGTGTGACAAATAACCGATGTTCTTTCTCACTTGAAATCTCGTTTTCGGTAAGTAAAGTCTCTTACACGTGTTCCCGATGGCCTAAATATGCTGCGCGTTTTGCTATGCGTATAAAATACGTTCAAACGGTTGATTTTCGAGTAAACTAACGCGGAGATAAATTGCACATTTTATTGTAAATTTTTTATATTAGTATATATGTGTTTGTTAATATATGTGAATAAATTTGAAAGATTCCTTGTAGGGATCTTTTTCTAAGCAAATCATAAAAAAAATCTTTGAAAAGCAATATATGCTAAACACAAAGATTATATTGTATCAAATAAAAAAAAAAAAATATATACATATATACATACACACACATATATAATATACACATACATTAGATTAACTGTACAAATGGAACTCATTTCGTCTGCCACTTATATTGACGATAATAAGTGAATATTTTATTGTAATCATCGACCTTTAATTAGTTAGCTAATGGTATATGAAACATATTGTCAGCGTTATGCAGATAGATAGTAATAAAATTAAATAAAAAAAATAATAAAAATCATAAAAAGAAAGAAATAATAAAGTAACCCTGAAACAATCATAAAATTTGATTTAAAAAATCTGCCTAAAATTTATATTAAATTGTAATCGGTATTTTAATTAAAATATGGTGACAAAGTATCTAAATTATGTAAACAGAGAGGTGTGTATGTGTATTACAGTTAAATTATTTGAAATAGTATATCTCTCTTCACTTTTAAAAATCAAGATGTAATAATGCAAGTTAAGATAAAAATATATTGTATAATTTAGCGTTTAAATTTTTAAATTATAAAATATCAAATTTATATAAGAAAAGAGAAACTAATGAGTATTTTGTTACAATTTGACAAATGTGTCTTTTACATCTGCGTAGTGTTTTTATATAGAGATGCAATATGATATATGTGAAGATATCACAAACTTGGCCCCCTTTAAACTGCGCAACGTCAGTATGAATAATAAACTGAAATATATAATTTGTAGAGAAAGAAATAAATATGCATAAAAAAAAAAAGAGATAACCTTTTACTTTGTAAAATATTCTGCATTCAGATTTTCTTTGAAATGATACAAACGAGGACGGGAATCATTTCAAACATTAACAATAAAAATACATAACACTGACGATACGCATATAGTAATTTAGTGTCCCTTAAAGATTGGCAGTTATAGCCTGGACGTATTGTGGTCCAAAATAGCACAAAACAGTTGAGATGTGATCCATCTTAGTTGTACATACCTGACCCATTTTATATTTTAAACAGCTATCCTTAAAATAGTAATGGGAAGAAAATAAATCATCAGTATTCAAAAATTGCAATCGATTAACATCAGTAAAATACATTAAAATATTAAATTTTTAGCTGAGTGTTATTTTAACATATTGCTAATCATGCTAATAATAATATTTGACTAATAATGATGCGTATGTTGTTTGTCTTAATGAATATAACTAATATTCTTACCATTATCTAAAACAATGGGGCATTTTTATCAAGGATTAAGAATCTACAATGATGTACAACACACAGCAAGCGCAAATTAAGATATTGTCCAATCAATTCTGTTTGGTGATCGGATTGAATTTTAATAGTTTGAGTTCAATATTTATCATATACGATATTATATGTGACCACAGAGCATAGTATGTATAAAGTGCATATAACACGTTTATCACTTTGTGACATACTCCATTTCTGTCTCTTGTTAGCTCTTTCTTTCTTAGTTTATCACAGCTGGGGCAGAGGTGGGAAGGAAGAGAACTTATGTGTCACACCCCAAAAAATGAAACTCTAAAAACATCCTCTATTCCTTGTAATCCCACCATTCCTTCTCATAACCTTCATGGACATGTTCTAAAAGCACTTTTCTTCGACTATCGCAGTATCTTCAAAAACAAATAATTTCTTAACGTTATTACGGTTGTAAACAAGAGATATCTCATTTTCCTAACAAAGAACAGGTGATGCACAATCCTTACCTATATTTATCCTGAACCTTTTGTTTAATATCTGCAAGATTTTCACTTGTGATATCCCTTTCAAGATATTCAGAGAGGCATTCTGTGGCACTCTCTAAATCCTTTTGGTTATCTTCAAAAATCACAGACTGATTATTCTTTTTCACATAATAAGCAAATACATAAGTATACATGAGAGTCTGCCTACAGGAACACAAAATGTCGACTGCTTTTTTCAGAAATTGTACCTGAAATATGAAAAAGATTAGTTTGCATAAGTTTATATTCAATAAGCGATTCTACTATATATATATATATGTGTGTGTGTGTGTGTGTGTGTGTGTGTGCATACACGTATATAGATTATTATTATTATTACTATTATATTATGTTGATGTACCTCAATCCATGACATATTATGCTGTTGCATTTCTTCCATCTTCTCCTTCACACTGGCATACAATTTACTCTCAAATTTTAGTGATTGCATATGATTCATATATCTATTGCAATAAAATAAATATCTCTGTAAAGCTGATCTTGATTTTTCTTGTGCATTTCTAGCTACTTTAGCTTCCTCTTCATCGTAGCGATTACAATTATACCAACTAGAACCATGTGGTTCCCATGGCCCAAGACACACCCAACAAAATTCAGTTTTACAATTTTGATTTTTGCAAACCATGTGATTACATCCACCGTCTTTTTCGATGGTAACATTGCATTTAGGGCATTCCTTTGTATTAGCAGCAATCCAGTTTGATGTTTCGGAATCGTCGTCGCACTTTTTGATCCATTTTCGGAGTAAATGACACTTTACAGGATCATGCCAATTTTCACCACAGTGAAAACAGAAAATATGTCCACATTTGCAAGTAACTGGTCTTGCTTCTACATACTGTACCTTAACGGCATTATTACAATCAGGAGACGGACACCATCTCAATAACCTATTACACTAAGAAAGAGAACACACATATAAGAAACATTTATATTTATAAAATCCAATAAATTCAACTATATTCATTACAAGTATTTACTTCGACAAAGCTATTGGTGATTAAATGTTGATACTTCAATTTAACTTTGGAATCTTTGACAAGCCGCATAACACTGGCATCATCTACTAAAATATCGCAAGCATGAGCAGCACATGCAATTGTTTGTCCAACTCCTTCTTCCATGATTTTAGTCGTCAAATATTCTCCCCAGCAACCAGTACAGAAACGATGCCCACATTCGAGACCAGTCATCATCTAATATTTTTTAAAGTTTTTTTATTTTTTTTTTATTGATGCATCTACTTTATATATATATATATATATATAAAGACTGTATTACAATAAACTTACTGAAGATGGTAAGATCATAAAACAGATTCCACATTCCTCTGTTCCATTTGTCATTCTTTTGGACTATTAAACAATCAAAATAAATTTTTATTGTAATTTGTTAATGATACACAAAATATAATTAAAATAATTTATACACATTTACCAAAGAACTTTGCGAGGATCGACTTCTACTTATTAAAGGACCCTTTCTAAATGGATTAATGACACGTGCCTCAGCAAATAATTTTTCTTGATCACCATCATAAAAACGTTCCATCAATTTTTCTTTATCCCATTTAAAGTGATTTAATAAAATACGTGTAGTTGTTGCTGGTATCTGTAGATGAGCACATACATAAAATATGTGTCCAAATGTTTATGTATAAAATGTATACTTATTGATTATTGAATCTGTAAAGCTTACTTCAACAACAGTGTTAACTTCTTTTATGGAATCAACCATGTGTTGTACAATCTCTTCTGTAGAAAGTACTTCAAATGGATATTCATCGACATCAGTAGCTCGTTCACGTGGATTACCAGATTCTATTTCCATGGCAAAGTCAACATCATCGCCGCTTGATTCATTGCCAGAGTCAACATCGTCGTAAAGTGTTTCCTCTTCCGAATCCATTATTGCGAGAAATTAACAAGCAATCTTTTTGAACTAAAGTTTTTTCTTGTCAGTATGTACCGCACCTATATACACAGAATAGAATACAAAAAAGTTGCAAGAGTATATCTTGAAGTTTATGCTGTGTCAATTCAATCAATATATTTCACCTTGTATGGTCACAACTGTATGATAACACAAGTGTACAAATATTAATATTTGAATAAACAATAGATGTAAGTCACTAAGTCACTATTGTATTAATTCATACAGCGTAAACTCATTAATCATGTAATTAACGTTTTTATATACAATATGTATCTGGCAAAATTAGATCGAAAATTGATCTTTGTCCACCGAGTGGCAATGTCAACTTCAACAAGATGTAAACAATTCGCGATTCCGAAAATTTGATACGCGCACCTGCTATAAGAGAAAACAGCTTATGTTTCAGTACATGACGTCATCGTTTCTTGATGCTTCCCCAATAAAGCATACAGAAAGGCAGCCTCTCGAAAGGCGCGTGGCTGTTAACACGTCGGAAAACCAGTACTCGTGATAATGATTAAACACTTCGGCAGTGTAAAGGGTTGAAAAATTTTTAAACGTTTCTGTTACGGAAAGAGAAAGGGGAACAAAATCAGCTGCCAAAACATCCGAAATGAACTCCGGTAGCCGAGGCACTAACGGCTAATCTCACGGCGAAAACGGTGGACGAACAAGTTTGCTCGATCAGCCAATTGCGACATTTACTGCATATAGGCGACCAACATACGCTTGCGGAATTGATATTTTATATTATTAGTTTCGTCGAGGCCAATCTTGCTTCTCTAGGAATTACAGGCCTCATTGTCACGTGCCGAGGTGTCGAGCGAAATGCGCTTCTAAGAACGATCGGAGGCCATC